TTGGTGATTCATACACATAGTTTATGTTAAGTGTCAACGTAGGTTGCTGTAGATTAGTGGTCACCAACCTTGGTCCTGGAGATCTACCTTCCTGTGGAGACTAGTTCTAGTCTCTCACACCTACACAAGCTAGTGAACTTCTTCAGAAGTGCTTGATTGGCTGGATCAGATACGTTAGTGTTAGTTCAGTGGGTGGGAATGGCAGCATGTTGGATCTCTGATTCTCTGAATACAGACAAAACACTATCGTGTTTAGGTAATAACATTTTAAGCAATTTATGGGTTACTATTAGCCGGTGGTGTATGATTACATAATATCTTAATTATTCAAAATATTGGCTTTAAATATTGGCAAACATATTGTAATTATCAGAAACAAAAACCTGATGACTGATTGCCATGTCTGATAGCCAATTTTAAAAGTAAGCATTCAGCCATGCAATTCGGTACTCTGACAATATTTTGAACACAGTTTGAAAAATGGAAAATGATGTATCCACGCTGTTGCACAACCTGCTGATGAGGCTGGAGGTCAAAAGGCAGGAGGTCTGGAGCTTTGTGACCTTTGGTGTTCAATAGTATGTAATGGTGTAGCTCCAATAGATTGTATAGCTGTTGTAGCCCATCTGCATTACACGTATGTTTTAGTGTATTTGATTCACTACTAGTCTCAGTATTTTCAGTGTAAACCCTCAGCTTCATCCTTGGACGCACCGCCATTTGACAGACTTATAGATATTTCTTTACCCAATGTAAAGTTTGTCATCTGGACGTGACTGTGGGCGGCCTACATCTCCTATCATTTCCTGAAACTGAGCTGTACCACTTTATTTGTTTTCCCACAGGCTGCCCAATGAATAGAATGTCCTCATAGATCTGGTTGTTTTTTTTTCCGCAAGCCTTGATTTGTGTTGAATTGAGAGAAAGTGTCCCGTGGTGTGCCGAACACTTTCTGTCCATCACCACTCATGTTTTTAAAGCACTTTAAGCTCCAGCCGCCACATCCAGATGGGCTCTGCTTTAGATCAGATGCTTTGAGATGATCCAGGAACTGTGTCATATTTCATCGTGTTGTAAAGATTGTATCACTCTCCCTTTTCCTGATCTATTTTTTTTTTTAATCAGCGCCTGGACTTAACTAATAAACCTCGGAAATAAAGTCGGTTGTGTTTAATCAGTTGGTAAATAGATGCCTGTCTGCTTTCTAGGAATATTTTACCCAGCTTGTGTAAATTTAATATGAATGCAGTTCATGTAGAGGCTTTTCACTGATCATGGAATCCAGTCCACATAGAGGGGTTCTTAAAAATGACTGTTCAGCTTGTGAGCGACTTTTGTTCTTTCTTCTGTGGGGCTTTTTTGCACCAGGGCCAGCAGGGAAAACCTTGCACCCTTTGCTAGTACGAACGTGGGGGTTTATTTTTGATGTCCAAATTCTGGCTTTCCCCAAGCAGCACGGCTGACCCCCGGGGCCTCTGAGTTTCCACTACGTGCCCTGCTGGGGTGAATTTACTTGAGGGGGTGTGTAGGCAGCGTGCAAAGGAACAGAGAAAGCTCTGGCTGGCTTCCAGGCAACAGCATACACAATCAGAGAGGTCAGACAGCAGTAATGTGTCATGTGTAAGGATGGTCCTCTTCTCTCTTTTGGCTCAGAACAGCAGAACAGCAGAACTCTCGGGATGATTGAGATGACTGTAAATGACTTCTGGGAACCTTAGTTTCTCCATTCAGATCAGCTTTTTTGTTCTGTTATAAAAGAGTTGGCTTGTTAAAGTCTGTGAGACGTTTTTATACCCCTATGAAATACGACATGATTGTATCAGCTCTTTAGTCATGTTTTGATTATGCTCTTTATTAAATTATTTAATGGCACTAAACACTAAGTACAGGCTAATAATGATATTTTTTCTTTAAAAAAAACTCAAGCTTTAATTACTTTTTCTTCTTTCATGTAAATGATAAACACTGGATCTGTAATAAATGAAAATAATGAATCAAGATTAATTGCATTTGTATTTGCTCTAATTTGACCCCTTTGACCTGTTTTTTTCATTTAACAAGCAGTGCAGCTTGCCATGGCTATATGAGTGGAAAAGGAGCTTCGTTAGAGTATAATTATAAATAATTCCTTCAATAAATCAATTTGAACGGTACATTAAACAACGCAAACACAGTTTCCAGCTTCATCAAGAGCAACAGCGGCAGCTTGTTCCAACCAGTGAATGTATAAGTCATATATACCATATATACAGTCAGGGCTTCCACCTCCTCCACCACTGTAGTCCTCTCACTCTAATACCTGATAGGTGAACTGTAATTTTCCACTTTAATGTTGCTTTTGTTAGTCTGTTGATTTATCCATTGGTCATCCAGGGAAGACGTCATCCACTGCCAACGTTACTGATATTACTGACATTGGCGACATCGACCGAATGTTTGGCCTATAAATGATAAAGTAATGCTTGTAAGTACTTGTTTTCTTCTAAAATATACAGTAAATGATACAAATAAAGGACTCAATGTACTTGGAAATAGCTGGAAATAACTTTGACTAAAAGAGGCTTCAGCTAAACTGTTTTAAAGCTGTATTTGAACGAGACAGCCTCAGTCCTGGAGTCGTAGCAACAGTGCATGAACAGCTGAGCTTTAAACTGAAACTATGGTTGCTTTGAAGGGTCAAACTAATAAAATGCATTACCAGCAATTAGTAATTTAATGTGTGAAATTTGACACTACTAATAAACACAGGTCCAGCTTTGTTTGGCCTGTATCTCTAATATTTACAGCATTATAACATGCAGTAAGACTCTGTTACCACAATAGTAACGCCAGGACTGAAGGTGCAGTAATAATACCCACTATAATGCTAATTCATGGGCTGTTATTAAGCCATTTTCAGTCTCTATAAGCATGAAACTCACAATACACAGTACAGTTTAGCACCTGCAGGTTTACTATACGTTTCCTTTGTTAGAATTATTATTATTTCCGTCTTTGCGCTGTTGTGTTTACGATGAATATCACACCAACCGTGAGAAAGCTTTTCATTATGCCGTACTGATATAATGACAGAGGGGAACTGAATTGAATTTCTTCTTGAATGTGTTGCTTAATTCGCCTCTACTGGTCAGTCCAGGCTCTTTTGGAAGCATAAGCGGATATTTGTGGCCACAGTGTACGCAGCGCTAGGGAGATCAACCCCAAGAGAGCTGGCACCAGGCAGTGTGGTTTCCCCAGTCACTAAGGGAAACCCCCCTCCATCTGTCTCAGAGACTGCAGCAAAGAATGTGGCGGCCATGCCAGCATGGAAAGTTTAAGAGAGATCTGTCAAGGATGTGAAGTGAATCGGAATAACACAGCGTAACCAAGCAGTTCAGGTTCGACTGAGAACAGCGCTCGTTTGTTGGCGTGTCTAAATGGGCGAGAACAGTAAGGCTGTGTTTTGTGTAATTATGATTCACTTCACATGACAATAACTTGGGAAGCATGGCACACAGTGCCACCCGTAACATAGAGGCGGATAAACAAGGCTCAGCATGTAAAACAGGCCGGTTGTGTACTTGTAGAAGCCTCCCTGTAATTAGGTGTCCTAACAAGTCTCAGTCTTGACCGCATCAGGCGGAGTGTGTTAACATCTGTTCCTGCACCTGTGTGTACCCTGATGTTTTGTTCAGCGACAGACTGCAGCCAAATTCTGTGTGCATAGCCGGTACTGGCGAACGAGCGGCATTGTGATGAACCCAAAGCTGTTAGCTAATGAGTGCTCATGTGCTCACTTGTTTGCCCATTTTCTCATTCTTTTCTCCGCCATCTGGAGGGGATTCTGCGTGACTCTGTGCTCAGTATGCTGCAAAGAGCAGTACAAATATAGAATACTGGCGTACTGGTTTTATTGATTCTACTGTAGTGTGTACTGTATGTAGTGAATGGCACATCTCAGAGTTATGGCACTTACACCAATCAGGCATGACATTCTGACCACCTCCTTGTTTCTACACTCATTGTCCATTTTATCAGCTCCACTTACTATATAGGTGCACTTTGTAGTTCTACAGTTACAGACTGTAGTCCATCTGTTTCTCTGATACTTTGTTAGCCCCCTTTTACCCTGTTCTTCAGTGGTCAGGACCCCCATGGACCCTCACAGAGCAGGTACTATTTGGGTGGTGGATCATTCTCAGCACTGCTGTAACACTGACGTGGTGGTGGTGTGTTAGTGTGTGTTGCGCTGGTACGAGTGGATCAGACAGAGTTTTTAAACACTGTGTCCGCTCACTGTCCACTGTATTAGACACTCCTACCTTGTTGGTCCACCTTGTAGATGTAAAGTCAGAGACGATAGCTCATCTGCTGCTGCACAGTCTGTGTTGGTCATCCTCTAGTCCTTCATCAGTGGTCACAGGACGCTGTTGGCTGAATATATATTTGGTTGGTGGACTGTTCTGAGTCCAGCAGTGACACTGAGGTGTGAGGGTCCATGGGGGTCCTGACCACTGAAGAACAGGGTAAAAGGGGGCTAACAAAGTATCAGAGAAACAGATGGACTACAGTCTGTAACTGTAGAACTACAAAGTGCACCTATATAGTAAGTGGAGCTGATAAAATGGACAATGAGCGCAGAAACAAGGAGGTGGTCACAATGTTATGCCTGACTGGTGTAGTTAGGGCCTTTGGCATTTTGTTTGTCTCACTGCACTTGTCAAGCTGATGAGGAGTGGCTGAGACAGAGCATAAATGACAGTCAAATGCATGCAAAATGTGTCTAGGTTTTTTTAGTGTGGCCTTGAGTAAGCACTTCTGGTCTTGGTGTATTCTAATATAGGAAAATGACCTCCTCCCACTAAAACTCCAAAGAAACCACCCAACTTGCATAAGTAATTATTTACATAAGAAATTATTTATCCAGACCCTCTTTACTGCCAAATCCTTATTTACCCTCAATCTTCCCTCAGCCTGTATTTTTCATTTGGAAATCTCTCTCTCTCTGTTTCACTGAACAGCACAAATCATGGAAGAAGATCAAGAACATGGTGCACTGGTCCCCTTTTGTGATGTCCTTCAAGAAAAAATACCCATGGATCCAGCTGGCAGGCCATGCAGGTAGGTCTTGCCAATGGCCTTAGGCTATTATTGTTACAAAACATTTTACAGAACAGCCAATTTCCTCGAGATTTTCCATTTTGATTGATATTTTTTTAAGTTGGCTTTCACTTACAGCAGCATTTGTGTTTGCATAACTTGTATAACTTGAAGGCAAATTGCATTGCTTCTCAGAATTAAACAGTTTTTTGGAAATCAGTCAGTTTGTGTGTCCTAACTGCAATGCATTGGGTCTCACAGGCAGTTTCAAGGCAGGAGCCAACGGCCGCATCCTGAAAAAGCACTGTGAGTGTGAACAGCGCTGTTTGGACTGGCTGATGAAGGATGTTCTCAGGCCGTATGTACCAGCGTACCACGGTGATGTGGAGAAGGATGGAGAGAAGTACAACCAGATGGACGACCTGCTGGCCGAGTTTGACATGCCCTGTGTCATGGACTGCAAGATGGGTGTGAGGTCAGTTTCATGGAGATGCACAAGAGGACATTTCTGTGGTCTCTTTAGTGTGTTTACATGCAGACTAATAATTAGATGTTTTTGTCAGTTACCAGATTATTAAGCGGTCATGTAAACAACATACTACAGATGAAAGCTGTTATTAGATTTTAGGAAAATCACATAAATTCAAAATGACATATGCATAATTCATTGCCAATTCATGCCAATACATCAAGCAACATTCCACATTCTTTAATTATTCTTATATTTTTCTTCAAAACACTTATTACGCATTTTCTTAATTTCCTCTTAACAATTATAAGAACATGATATTCTTTGAAAAATATGCTCTTAAATATCTTCTTAACGTTACGACAGTCTCACACATCGTAGACTGTAGGAACGGACAGTGGTTAACTCTTAAACTAACTTCAAATAGGATTCACAAAATGTGTGTTACAGTGAATTAAGAAGAATTTTTATTCTGTTGGCTATTACTTCTGTGATTTCTGGTGTTCTGTAAAATGCAACATGAGATTGATAGTCTACATGAAGAATAACATACAGCATACATACAAAAACAGTTAAGATTTTCTTAAGCAAGTAATGAGGACTTAAGAACATTTTTAAGAATGTCTTAGGTGTTTATGAGAATTGCATTGAAGAACACTGGGCCTCATTCACCAATATCTTAATAATAAGTGGGTTTTAAGAAGAAATTTCTTCTTAAGAACGGTTGGTGATCGAGGCACATTCTTAGTGTTTGTCTTAAGATTCTTAAAATTAGTTTTTTCTGTGGAACATTTTTGTGAACGTGGCCCCAGATTATCAGATTGTTTTATACCATTCTTGAGTATCGTCCTGTCCAAGTTCCTCATCCTTTAGCACAACTAGAACAAAAACATAATGCTTGAAAATGTGCAGAAGTGGAGGATGTGGAGTTCTTGTTTCATAGCTCTCCAGCTCAAGGTTCCTAAAGCTTGGAGCTCCCCCTTAAAATCTGTTCCCTCTAGAGCTTCAGCTGTTATCTAACACACCTAGTCTCATTATTTCGATGCTCTTGAAGATCTTGATTGGCTGGATCAGGTGTGGTAGAGTGAGAATGAAAGTATTTTCAGGAATAAGGTTGGGCATCACTGGGCAAGCTAGCTATTCTGCATGTATGGTCCTCAAGCTAAGCCTTGTTGGCACTAGCTTCATTTTTGTTCTAGTTGATGTTATCCTCCCTGTTTGAAAGAGCCTGTAACTCCTGGAAGCAACAGGAGGAGTGAGTGCAAATCTCTTCATGCCTCATGCCTGTCTCTGGGAACAACTCTCTGAGAGAGAGAGAGAGAGAGAGAGAGAGAGAGAGAGAGGGAGGGAGAGAGGAGGTGGTATATTCAGACAATAGCAAAATCAAGCCTATTCAAATGAAGGAGTGAAGGACGGAGGTAAACCACATGTCAGAATGATCACGTCACTGCTGAGACAGCTCTTTGTTCTTGGTTGGTTGTGCTGCCTCAGGCATATTTTATCACCACATGCAAGCCTACATACTTAAGGAAGTAATGAATGCAAATTTCAGCTTGACAGCTTCCCAGGTTTCATTATCACTTTTGACATTGAGTCAAATTTTGCTCTTATCCTCTTCTCTGCTAACAGTTTGGTGCACTTGCTTTTCGGTTAGTGAAGCGTGGTCTTCGACACACCGTGAGACTCTAATCATTCTCTCTTGCTTCTGCGGTTCCCAGTAGTCTTCTGTTTGCTCACGTAAGCCTGACTGGAACACAGCCCTGACTCTGGATGAGTACAGAGATAGCCAGATGGTCAGGATATTAACAGAATGTATGCAGGCCTGTTCCAAACAAAACCATGCAGTGCTTAAGGATTCTTGCTGTCCATTTCAACACATTTTTAGGCTCCGCGCTTTCGCCAAAGAAAGCCGTATTTGATCCAGGCTAGTGAAAAGGTTTTCGTTTAAAGAAGAACGAAAATCTAGGAACACAAATCCTCATGAAATTGGGGTCTCAACAGAGCTACTCAGGTTGGTGTCAGAGGTGAAGATGTCCCCTTTAGAACTTTGGAATCATCATTGTGCTTCTTCCCATGTTGTACGAAGACCCAGACAAAATTAAATACTAAGATATGCTTAGATATTTGCTTTATTAAAAATAGTGGTTTGAAATACAATACTAGCTATGAGAAATACATGTATTGTCTCTTCTTGTTGCTGCAGGACGTATCTGGAAGAAGAGTTGACAAAAGCCAGGAAGAAGCCAAGCCTGAGGGGCGATATGTACCTGAAGATGACCGAGGTGGACCCAGATGCACCGACAGCAGAGGAAAAAGAGCAGAAAGCGGTCACAAAACCTCGATACATGCAGTGGAGGGAGACCATCAGCTCCACAGCCACGCTGGGCTTTCGCATTGAGGGCATCAAGGTGAGATAAGTGGATCTCAGCCATGTGGAAAGTAAACTAAGTAATCCAGTAAAAAGTAACCCAGTAAACCAGGTCCAGGAAACAGATGCCAGTGAGTATCAAGTGAGATACTGACTGATCCAACTAACTTTCATTCATTATCAGCTGTGATGGCGTTGTTGCGTGAAGCATACCTGCTCAATGATAACGTACCTGTTTATCACCCTTTACAGAGTCTGCTAACTGCTCAACTTCATTACACTGAACCGATCAGCACAGTTTAGACAACCAAAGCTTGTAAAATGCATCCAGCCTTAACTTTTAGCAAAGACCTAAGTCTGACCATCATCATAACATTGCCTGAGGTAGTTATTTCCAGTCATACAAGACCAGACTCGTATCTCTTTGCATGGAAAAAGACGTTTAAACCAGAAAATCAAGGCGACAGAAACACTTCAAAAACATGCTTAAAATCATGATTGAAATATGACAAATTAAAAAACATTGTAGCTCAAATAACACACAAAATGCTTATTTTTCCAGTTGTTTTGGCTACTTCCCATATGCAAACCTCCACAGTGACAGAGCTTTTCCTGCCTGAGGCTTTACCAGCAAGCTAACATGCTAGTCAAGATACCACCATACAGTACGATTTAATACCAAACACTGTGATGGAATTTGACACAGTATGATATGTCGTATTGTTACATAACACAACACTTAGGTTGGTATAGTGTAGTGGGTAACACCGCTGCCTTCTACACTGTAGACTGGGGTTCAATGCCCACCTGGGTAAACACTGCACTATACCTATAAGAGTCCTTGGGCAAGACTCCTAACACTGCCTTCACCTGCTGGTGTAAAATGATCAAATTGTAAGTCACTCTGGATAAGAGGGTCTGCCAAATGCCATAAATGTAAATGCTACTTTTTTTGTCCCCAATAACGATACCAGCTCAAAACGCTCCTGTCTGAGCTGCTTTCAGCTCAGTTTAAACACTGTTAGCATTTCTAGCCCCCTTTTCCTCTGTAACTATTTTTTTAATTGATTATTTAATGATCCTAATTTAATCTCATTTGATCTATCATTTAATGATTTTCTTTTAAATGTATTGTTTTAATTATGTTTAATGTTGTTTTTAATTACGTTTTTCTGTTTGTGTTTACTTTAAACAACTCTGTACTTTCTGACTCTGAATTGTCTAATTTGTAAAGCACTTTGAATGACAGCAGTGTTTGTTTAAAAGGTGTTGTATAAATAAACTTGCCTTACCGACATAGATACCTTGAAAAAAAGTTGTTCTTAACTGAGGCACCTCGCTTAAGATGAGCACCTAAAATAGGCTAACACCTCAGATATGCTCTACTACTCCACAGGAGGAAATACACAGCTAACTTCACATCACACAATGTAAATGTGTTCTATTTCTCTAGATTTGTCACAGGATTGGATCAAATTCATTCTTTTCCCCCTTTACTGTACAATCCAGCATTTACTGCTGAAACCAGCCCTCTAGTACTTTTTATCATGAAGAACATCTCTAAGTGAAGAGAACCAATTTAGTAGTTATTTTTTTAGAAAGAAAACCTTTAGAATTTCTGAACATTTATGTGAAGAGAACCAAACCAATGAAACCGAATGAGTAGAAAAGAATGATGAAAAGCTCTGGCCTAATATTTACACATTTTCCAAATTCAAATTTAACTGTTTGCCATAGAAACTACCAACACTATAATGTGACAGTAACAACTGTTCAAATTTAACAGGTCGGGATTTTTAGCTGACTTAATGGTCGTTGATATACGTACTAGCGAACTGGCTCTGCCACTCGTGTGTCCCTTTATGAACATCATTATTTTTAGTTTTTCTTGTAAATGATTCACAAGCTGACTCAAACTAAAATTGAAAGTGAAGTTTCGCCTCCATAAATTGAATCACCGTGTCTGTGCATGAATCTTAATTACATAACGGGCTAATAGGCCGAAGTGACAGGGCAGCGTTGCCGTTTCTCAAGAGGACGGGCTCTGCTGAGTGTTTCTGTCATGCACCGGGGCTGGTGGTGGCACTTCCATTGAGCGTAACATCAGTTAGTGACAGGCAGCAGCCCTCACAACACGATTTTGGTTCCGGGACTGTGGCCTTTGCCCGCACACAGCGGCGGTTGCTATGTAAACCCAAATATATCCTCATGGGGAAACGTCAAAAAGACAGAACACAGCTCGGAACACCCGGGCTAATTGAATTGAACTGCGCTGCAGTGGATACATTAAGTCAGGGAAGAGAGGATTAGGGGAGACCATGTTTGGTCTCTAGCTGGATTTTCCAAAATATGTCTTCATTAAGGAAAGCTCCCCATGTGGTGTGTGAATAGGAAAGGCTGGCGGTCTCCTCCTTTCAGAGTTTCCACTCGCACAAGGCCAACAATGTCCATAGAAGGCCAGGGCTGACTTCTCTCTCTCTCTCCTCTCTCTTTTTCTCGCCCCCTCTGTTGTCATGGTATTGGAGGTTGCCCTCGGAGACTGTTGCGTATTGAGAAGTGAGTGCGAGTTTGGAGAACAGGCAGCTGTTGTTATGTCTCAGTGGCCATATTATGTCTGTCAGTCACCCACAGTGAAACACAGACTTGATCACAGTCTATAGATGACAAATAGATTCAGATTTAAGAAGTATTGGCTTTGTTTTAAGAACTACATATGCAAAAGTTGGTCAAATTGCATGTTTTACCAGTGAAAATAAGTGAACACATCCTATACAGTGAACACACTTGTTCAGATTTTAATGTGGCTTGTCCAAAAGTTTCTATTAAATCATTGTTTATGTGTTTTATTTTTCCAGTCTATTAAACCCAGCAAATAAACAGAAATTGTGCAGTAAAATTAGCAGGAAATGCCATATTTAGGTGTAGAGGATGTTTTATCTTTAAGGGTTTCACAGTGTGGTAAAGATTCTGACAGTGAAATTCTGCATGTATGATTTGAGTTGAATCAATCATTCGTTGTTTTATTTGTTCTTTATTGTCTTATATGGAGAAAATTGGTTTGCAGCTCTAGAACACACACATAATATGTAACAACTTTAACATGCAATAAAACATGCTAAAGGTTTGGTGAATGAAAAAAAATGGTTAATTGTTGTCAAAAAAATATCACGCTAGATTTTATTTCCTTAAAGCTGCACTATGTCAGATTTGGGGTTTTGGAGACCCCTCTGGTAGAAATGTTCCATTGCAGCTGGAATTTCTTTTTCAGTCGTGTGATGTTAGAACATATTGAAATGTTATGTGATTTGAAAATCTCTTAATCTGACCCGACGCCTCTGACTTTAACATTACTGTTTCATGTTTTACAAGATGACTCACAGCAGCGCATGAACACTATATATTAGTGTGTTTTTCCATCCTGAATGCGACTTCCGGAACTTTTAACAAAACAAATCTTGCCGCTTAAAACTTATTTTTAAAATAAAGGCCAGAAATGATTCAGTTTCTTACAGAAATTCAGAAAAGACAAATATTGCTACTGAGTGAGCATGAATTCATTTGCATAATGTCAACTGTTCACTTTCACATGTTGTTGTTAACTAGTTGGATTTGATGAAGTGTCTGATGCCTGTCGTTTCTTTGCCTGCCCACAGAAGGAAGACGGGACAGTAAACAGAGACTTTAAAAAGACCAAGAGTCGTGAGCAGGTGACAGAGGCCTTCCATGACTTTGTCAAAGGAAACATGAATATCCTGGTGAGTGCGTGTTTGTGTGTTAGGGCTTTTTGCCAATGAGGAACTCCTGCGAGTGAGAGGGAGCCAAGTAGCCTGGGGAACACCTCAAAACGTATAAACTCCCCAGAGACATTTGTTAAGCTTCAGGGTTTCCTTTGTGTCTTCCTCCAAGCTGAAAGACGTATTAAAATAAAGCAGAGAAGCTCAGAACTTCTCGTTTCCGATCACATTTTGTCCGTGCTAGTGGAAAAAAGCTGTTCTGTCTAGTTTTGTTTTGGTTGCTGTCTTGGTTTGTTTTTTTGCACATTCACATTTAACTCATATCCCTCATTTGAATGTACACTATAAAAAAAAAGTGACACAAGTGCCTCAATAAAGAAAAGGAAATTTAAGTGAAGGTTTAAGGTATTTTCACATAATATAAAGGTTCTACACCAATTTCAGGGTTCTTCCTAGAACATTTGGGTAATGTGGAGGTTTTTTAAACGTACTGTAACATAATATTCCTCAGGAGGCTCCTGTAAAGACTGACCACAGGAAACATAGATCAAAAAAACAAAACCGTTCTTCATAGTGTGAACAATATCTTCAGAACAAACACAAACGTTTCCCTGGTTGGATGGTGACACCAGGGCATCTGAAATCTTTAGGACAAACATTTCCGAAGAATTTTGGCCTTGGCAGGTCAGCGGCCGGTTATCTGACACCATGCTTGTCCTTCCTCACTGCCTTAGCTGCCCGGCTGTGTTTGCTGAAGAGATGACAAATAAAGGCAGTTCGTTTTATACTTAACCAAAGGAGCTTTGGGAATGTATTTGATAACTGTGCCGTGAAAACCTATAGATATGATTAAACCACCACTGTATTCGTCACACAGTGACTTTATTACCAGTTACTCAGCAGTTTTTAAGTGTAAGATGCATTTGAACAGAACATGTAATCAGATGTGCCAGTTACTGGCAGGTTTACCTGAAACTTTCTCAAAAGCGATCAAAGAGACAAGTGCAAAGAAGATCTGTCAGTCGGTGACTTGACTGGGTTCTCATGTATTCAGAAGGCCTTTGACTTCTGTTAATCTTCTAGAAGATGAGTTTATAGTTACTTTACCTGGTTATTCTATCAGGGCTGCCCACTTTCGGCCAGAAAGTTAATCTAACCGCACCCCCTCACCCAGGGACACAGCAGACGTATTAATGCTGTTAGAATAAAACCTTGTATCTCCATTTTTGTTGTTTTAATAAAAGTTTTAAAATTTTTTAATAAAAAAATAACTTTCTTGCTCGGACATACAGTTACTGATTAGCTGAAGCAGGTTTTGGGTGGTAACTGTAAATACTATGTTTTTTGAGAAGAGATTTTTTTGACATTGTGGCAAATAAACAGAAATTGTGCAGTAAAATTAGCAGGAAATGCCATATTTAGGTGTAGAGGATGTTTTATCTTTAAGGGTTTCACAGTGTGGTAGAGATTCTGACTGTGAAATCCTGTATGATTTGAGTTGAATGAATCATTCATTCTTTTATTTGTTCTTTATTGTCTCATATGGAGAAAATTGGTTTGCAGCCCTAGAACATGCACATAATATGTAACACAAAGGTAACAGTCAAAATGCTAAAGGTTTGGCGAATTTAAAACAATGTTTTTAATTGTTGTCAAAAAATATCACGCTAAATTTTATTTCCTCAAAGCTGCACTGTGTCAGATTTGGGGTTTTGGAGACCCCTCTGGTGGAAATGTTCCATTGCAGCTGGACCTTCTTTTTGGGTCTGTGCGTGTGACTTTAGTACATATTGAAGTATCACGTGATCTAAAAAACTCCCATTGAAGTCTGACCCGACGCCTCTGACTTTTACACGATTATTTTAGGTTTTACAAGACGACTCGCAGCAGCGCACAAACACAAAAAAATCTTAGTGCCGCTTTGAAGTTTTCTTTTTAAAATAAACGCCAGAACTTGTTTCTGTTTCTCAGCAAATATTGCTGTGGTTTTTGAGCAGAGATTTTAAAATGGTTTAGATAAAAACACCCATTAAATCAAAGTATTATTTATTAGTTCATTTGTATTCTACTTTTAGTGGTTCATGGCCTAAATAAATGGCCATACAGTGAGTGGCCTTATGTTCTCAGATGCCCAGAGTCCAGAAGACTTTTGCACAGTACTGTATATGTGTAAACCTTACGTTATGTATCTTACATATATTTACATGCACACATATTTAACTGTATCCATATGTGTTATGTTTTTGTTTGAACAGAATTCCTATCTCACCCGACTAAAGGAACTCAGGGACACTCTGGAAATCTCCCCGTTTTTCAAGACACACGAGGTAAACAGCACTGCAATTGTTCCTCTGAGCAGCTGGTTATTTTAAGTTACCATTTTAAATGTGCCATTCAAAGTGGGGGTGTGGCTCGTGCCAAATGTGCACACATTCAGAATGAACTGTAACAGTTGATGGGAAAATAGATTAAACAATAATGCATGTACACAAAGCGCATAAATGTTGGACATTTGAAGGAAAAAAGCAGAATAACGTTGAGGTGAGGTTTATCTCACTTATCCTGGATTACATTAGCAGTTTTCAGGTGAGGAAAGGCTTTTATATAAGAGCAAATACAGTTTTGTACAGAGATCAGTTTAGATTAGACCACGTTAGATTTATCAGTGTAAAACAGAACTGATCATATTTTATACACAAAAGAGGTGAAACTAATGTACAGTCAGACCAAAACAGCACAAAACAGCAAAGTTTCTCACTGTTAGAACAAGTCAGCAGTGCTCTAAGCTCTGAGGGGGTTTTTGCAAATTATGACCTTCATATCAGTGTTAACCTCCTTCCAAATCATCATGTTAAACCTACGATGGGTACACTTTGTAAGCCTGATGCAAACAGCATACATCCTGCTTGATTTAATTAGCATTTTAATACTGTTTGTACACATGCCACTGTTTGCTCACGTTGATTAGAGAGCAGCACTTAATGTTACAGCGGAAAAAAAGGGGCAGCTGTGTGCCGTCTGTTTGTTAGGTGTTGTTTGTGGAAATATATACTGTTCAAAAGTTTGGAAACACTGTTTTTATAATATAAAACCAATTATGTTGCAGACACGTATATAATAATGCTAATATTTTACAGGTTTTAAATTTATAGGTTAAAACATTAAGACGTTTTTAATGATAAACGCAGCTTAAGATGATTCCATAATAATTGAGAAAGCTGTATATCATACAGATTTAAAATTCTAATAAAATTAATTCCCAGAGTGCCTCATATTCAACAGCTATTTGTATTTTGTGACAAGAAAATACTATAAATAGGTAATTATAGTTTATTATTTAATACCATTTGCTATTTCTTTTCTCATTGTCCCCAAAATACGTAAACATGTAAATAAACCCTCGGTTTACGTTTTGATGTCTAGTTTATAACAATACTGTGCAGGTTATTATTGAATAACATGCATTAAATGTGACATACTTTTAATATTAAAAATAAAAGAGCCAAAAATATTCTTTGGAGTGAAGAAGAACCATGTTTGGTTCTCTAAAGAACCAATTTTTATAAATAGAGGAGAACTCTAGCAAGGCTGAAGAACCTCTTTAAAAGAACCTCCACATAATGTAAAGGTTCAAAACTCATTAACTCATCAAAACTCATCATTGCTACTGTAAAGACACTTTCACTGTGCACCTTAGACTGTAAACACTGCTGCTACTCCTAGTTATGTTTATACTCAGTGTGTTGTAACCACCTCATATTACTTAGCGCAGTACCTGCTGCCATGTAAATACAACAAATCTGTCGTATATCCTATGTAATGTATACTTTATTCCTACCCTCTCATAGTTTACTGTCTATTTTTCTTTTTCTGCCTAATTTATGTCTGTTTTTATTTCTATTTTTATTTTTGCCCAATATTTGTAAGTTTATGTGCAATTATATGTCTTGCTACTGTAACACTGCAGTTTCCCTTCAGTATCTATCCATCCATCCATCCATCCATCCATCCATCCATCCATCCATATACCTATCTAAAGGATTTTTCGTAGAACGGCACCACGCAGAACCATTTAGGAACCTTTATAGAGAAACATACTGAGTTTCTACAGTCATTGTCATTTTTGTCCTCTCTGTGTTCAGGTGATTGGCAGTTCTCTCCTCTTCGTCCACGACAAACAGGAGCAGGCGAAGGTGTGGATGATAGACTTTGGAAAGACCACTCCGCTTCCCGAGGGCCAGAAGCTGAGCCACCGGGCCACATGGGTGGAGGGCAACCGCGAGGACGGCTACCTCTGGGGCCTGGACCATCTCATAGACATTATAAGCCACATGGTGGCACCAAAGCCTCTTTAGAGAGAAAATGTCACCCCCACATCTCTCTCTCTCTCTCTCTCTCTCTCTCCCCCTCTCTCTCTCTCTATACTCCCCCTGGGTGGATTGCCCGCACTACAGTACAGGACCTGCCTGGGTTACCATAGAAAGCTACCCCAATGACCTTCCCCCCTAAACGAAACGGCAGCCACGTGTGATGTATGTGTGTGTATGTATGTATGTAAAGATATAGATACTGTACATATAGTGTATAGAGTGTACAGTAGGAGGTGTTCTGAATGGGTTCTCTGCAGCTAGTGCTTTGTCGACGCATGTTTGAATGTCACATTCCTCTTTTTCACCCTTTAATGTGATGTTTGTACGATGCTATAGTGTTATAGTGTAAAGCACTCGTGCCTTTTCCTCACTGACGCCAGTCAGGTTTCTGAGTAAGACGTTCCCAAACCTCTTCCTCAGGTACAGTATTGTGCAAACGTCAGAGACCGCCCTTCAATTATTTAGCCTCCAGTCAAAACAACCACTACAAGTTATTTTTCAGCACCAGAAAAATAAAACAGGAAAATTACAGAGAAGCTTCAACAACTAAATATAAGATTTTTTTTCCAGTATTTAGTGTCCACACTTTGCCTTCATTACTGCTTCCCTTTTTCCTTGCTTTCAGTTTTGAAAGAAATCTGCATGGATATTTTCCCTCACCTGCAAAGTTCAGTCTTAGAAGTTGGTTGCATTTTTAGCTTCTTGCAATTTAAACAATCCCAAACACATTTGGTGATGTTGAGGTCTGGACTCTGGGGTGGTCGGTCCGTTGTTCTGAGAACACCAACAGCTTCCAGGTTTTGTTTTCAGACATTCTTCCTTTTTTGTCTTTTTCTCTGATGGTTACAGTTTCAGTGGTCTGACAGGTCTGTTGGTAGGAGATGCGTTTTCAGTATTTATCATCTTTTAATAGCTTTTTAGAAAACTTGTTTTTTCACTTTTTCCTTTGACTTCTCCACTCCTTATCAGACGGGATTATCTTCCGCCTAATCTCCTCAGAAATATCAAATTAACTTGAATGTAATGACTGTTTTGACTGGAAATTAAATATATAGTGTCTGACTTTTATACAGTACTGGATCAGAAAAGAGGACATCGGATTAAGGTTTCTCATTATTAGCCTGAGGCTCCCATCATTCCTGAAATCATTCCAAAATTGAGCACACAGTTGTTTTAGCTGAGCTTTATTTGCGCTCATACTAGTCTTAACTTTGAGGTCCACATGTAGGTTTTTATTCAAATGGTTGTGGTTTAATTTGGGACATTTTAGTGATATTTTATTTGATGATTTGGTGATTTTTGCTATACTGTAGTTCTTACCTGGGCGTAATAACTGACCATTATCGTAGTGTTAATGATGTGCCTACAGTCATTTAATCTGAACGCCTTTTGTAGAACAATAGACAGCGAAGTCAGACGGCTGCATTTAGCTGTGCGTAGGATTTGGACTGTGGTCTCATTGCTAGCCTGGTTTCTACAATTAACGTTGCTTTAATCAAATGGCTGAGGCAAGAGGTGAGAGCCTGAACAGCTCCGCCAGACAACGAGTTCAGGGTCAACGTGTAATGCATTAGTACACGTCTCAGAGCGAGAGCGCTGAGCTAGGATCACCTCCCACTGCCTCTCTCTCAAAAAGCAGCTTCAAACCAAGTGCGAAACAGTCTAACCTTACAAACTCAGTGCCTTTGAGCTTCTGACTGTTGAGCTGTTACTAAACCCACACAGCGTGTTTATATAGTGTCTTCAGCTCTACTGTGTCTTAAAATATAATAACTGCTGACCAAAAGTGTGTCCACTTAGCTGGCGCCAATACACGTAAACCCTTAAAAAAAGGGTGTCAAACTGGATTCTTTTCGGTCCACAGCTCTGCAGAGATTAGCATTTTCCTTCTTCTGACACTCCGAATTCAACTCACAAAGGCCTCGCTAATTAGCTCATTAGCAGAATCAGGTATGTTGGTGCAGAGCACTGAACTCTGCAGAGCTGTGACCTGGAAGGAACACAGTTTGACACCCCTGCCTTACATACTGGCCAAATAACTTGTTGGAAACACGATTAAAGCTGTGTTTTTTGAGTTTAGTCTTGGAGGAAGTTCTATATGTATTGCACAGTTTTGTACTTTTGGGAATTCTTTCAATTTTTCAGTTTTTTTTCCAGAAATAATTCAGGCACTGAGAAATAAACAAAGTAGTTCAGGGAGTAACAATATGAAATTGTGCACTGTAGAGTAACTTAAGATTTTCTTTACAGTGGTGGTGATAGGAACCAGGGGTCACAGTGTCCACAATGCACACAGCCATTTAATTTACTATCTAAAATAACTTATTTTTTACATAGTATAAGGTTTTTTGTTGGGGATTATTTTGCCTTCAGACACCCTGGCTAGGAGGCCTTTCTGCCATGAATAGATTTTTTACAATATGTTTTAGGCCAAAATTTTTATGTGAATTAGCTTTTAGATGCATTAGACACTTCGGACATCTGGTTCCTATCACTGCTACTGTGAAGTTCTGACTCATTATGTTTTTTCTAGAGTGATGCATTTCACATCAAACCATTCAGTCTTTGTTTACAACTTAACGATTTAGTTATGCTGAATTTTTTAAAATTGATTTATACTAACCTAGCTGGTTAGTGAACCTCAAGTTCTTGAGTTAAAGGGGTAGGCCACCAATTTTTAAAAATTGACATAATTCAGTCGTTCAGGTAATAAAGTCATTCATAGTGGTTTAATATGAAATGGTTCATTGTAGAGAAATGTACCGACTCATTTCTTTACAGTGGTGGTGAGAGGATCCAGGGGTTGCCTACAACACAAATATAGCCATTTTATTTACTATTAAAACCAACAGGGAACCTACATGTTTTTCCTTTACAATGCAATATATTTTAGGCCAAACTCTTCTAAAAAGTGCAGCTAAACAATGTCTCAGTCATCAGGCAGCCCATTCCTAACCATTTCATGCTTTATCTTTCAGTGAGGGAGCTTTCAGCGGCATTAAACTCTTCAGACGTCTGGTTCCTATTGGAATTATTTTATTAAGAATTTGTTGGCACCCCTTTAAATCAGCCGTAGAGCAGAGACAGCACAAAACTGTGCGGTGCTGCTGGGACCTCCAGGATTGAAGTCAGGAAACACAGTAACTCAGACCTTCATTCTAGAGATCTGGGCTGCGTTCAGGTGTCAGGGTGTGGAAAAAAATGAGTCATGACTTTCTGAAGCTTATTTCGAGGCGAGGTAAAAGGTATTTGCATGGCCATTTGCTATGCAAATCCACCACTCCTGCGTACTCAGCCGGGCCAAATAGTCGGACACGAGCCAAGGAAAACCAAAGGCGGCGATAAAAGCTAATTTGTGGGCGAGAATGGCTGCGGCCCGCTGACAGAAGGCCGAGTTCAGCAGCTGATGGGCCGTGGCTGATGTAAACTAGGGCGAGAGGGGCCTGCAGTCTTTCCCTCAGAGTCCAGCGGTGTAAACATTCGACGTCACCTGGATTTTTCCTCATTAAGCTCATTAGCAGTCGAGGTTAAAAGCAACCTGTTCTTATTCAGGAACTGAAAGGGCGGACAGTGGGCAGATCCCCCCCTCTGTGCTCACCAGTTCCCAAAATCTTAGACCAAAGGCAGAGGTAGACAAAAAGTCACTTGTTTCACTCGTGCCTTGTTCTCTTTCGTTTCTGAAAATGTGTGAACCAGTGATCTATGCAGCACAGAGAGAGTTAAAAAGCCTTAATTTTAAAGATACCGACCACGAGGTGAATGTTAGGAGGGACCAAAGCATGCATGTCTGAAAGATTCCCTCTTTAAAAACACAGCTGATGTACCCAAAAGTCCTAAAGTAGAAGTTATAGCTGATTCCAGATCTGGTCTCTGGGGCTCCAGACTGAGTGCCTACTGTAGCTGAGGTGTAGGAGTGGGGCGCCCCCTGCTGGAATGGTGCTGTACTGTGTAGAACAAAAAAGACTCGACCAATCTTCTGCTCGGTGTGTCTTAAAAAACTTCGATTAATCGTGTTTGTGTGAAGTGAACATGTGTGAAAGATGTCAAGGGTGTCATACACATACTCATATTTATTGTCTGTGACATTTTGCACAAGAACACTAAATGTAGCTGCATGTTTCCTACCTTTCGTTGTGGTTAGCTGCACATTTTCCTCGACTTGATAGTCTAGCAGCTCACTGTATTTTTGGCTTGATAAAAAGGTGCAGTTTTTTTTTAGAGGAGTTATGCTCTGCACAAGGAGAGAAACCCGAGGTGGCCATTTGGTAATATCTCGCATTAGTCATTAGGCTTGGTTTCAGTTTGTGGATTATGTCAAAACAAAGACAATAACAACATGATACTGTTAATACTCAATATGAATGGCTGCATTGTGTAACTGCTCTTCCCAGCTTCTCAGTTCAAGGGACATTGAAGGTCTTTTTTCCAAACCTGCTCTTATGCTGTAAACAGCGCTACGTTCGCCATGTCAATCCTGCTTTGCTGTACAATTTTATGGAAGTAAATGAACAATTGGTCAAATGCTCATGTGTGTCTCCTGTCCTCATTCAGAGCTGCAGACAGCAGGAAATGTAGACCACAGATTTGTGGGGCAAACTCATCTTAGGAGATCTTGTCAGTCACATTTCACGGCCGGCTTTAATGAGTCGCTCTCTGTCTTATAAGGCAGAGCCCTCTGCTCTTATCTCCTCATTCTGCTCGGCCTATTTTTAGGCATTAATCATATTTGGAGAGTTTAGCCAAGAAAGAACGAACGAGCTCCCTGAGACGTATTTTAGGAGAGAATTAGCGGCTCCATGCTCAGTGAAATGAAGAGGCTAAACCCGAAATGGAAACACAAAAGAAGTTTCCCCTTTTGGAAACATTACAGCAGCAGGCCTTTGAACTGATTTCCTCAGTAAATGGACTGAGGGCCCAGCATGTGTCAGTGGGCATGGACATGATTTTAGATGTGTGAGGATATACAGATGGTAAAACAGGAGTAGAGAAACATAACCACTGTAGAAGCTTCCAGATAAGTGAACCTGCAGTGAGAGCAGCCTGGCAGTAAATTACTCAGAGTTATTAGATTAGGAAATGATGGAACAGTGTGGCTGAGAAAGGTGCACTGCCTCTGGATGATGGTGCAGCTTTTATTTATATTTCATATTTATGACTAACTTATGGCTCTAAGATGAGCTTAACCTCATCTGTCACTGTGCTTGCTAAAAAGCATTTTAATATGATGTCTACCGATAAATAATGGTGGAGATATGCTGAGATCACTTGTTAGCTTTTTTAACCTAAATGCTGACAGTTTCTAAAATTTTAAACAGGACTGTACGGCGCTCGCTTTTTGTGATTAAAACGTGTGTAAAGATAAACATTATCATTAAAAAGCCCCCCCGATCTGGGACCTCTTTTTCAACCCCTAAAGGCCTCAATCCAAATTCTAAGGGGTTCCTGAAATAGAAAGTATTATGACGTTATGCTTTCCTTGGGAAAATAGGTGCCCAAATACAAATTCAGGGAAAAGTCATTGTTTATCTGCTTCACCCACAATCTGAGAGTTTCTGTCTTTGGTGTTCTTAACTAACTAGTGATGCAGCACTCTCTGCCTCAGGGTGGCGCTGTAGCAAACTGGCTCACCCAGTTGGTTCTTTTTAGACAAGCCCAGCTTGCCCAATTTCCCAAAAGACTGGCGGAAAAGTGAATTGTTACTCATTTCTGAAACTGAAGACCAAAAAAATCTCAGTTTCAGTTGTAATATTGGTCTTAGTTTATTTTCCAAAATAAAAGACTTTGTACATTTAAAATCTTAAAAATTTGCATTACATTTACGGCATTTGGTAGACGCTCTTATCCAGAGTGACTTACAGTGTGATCATGTTACGCAGATAGGCAAAGGTAGTGTTAGGAGTCTTGCCCAAGGACTCTTATTGGTATAGTGTAGGGTGCCTGAACCCCAGTCTACAGTGTAGAAGGCAGTGGTGTAACACACTACACTATACCAGCCACACTAGTTAGACATCGTATGCAGGACAGTAATCTAGGTGGTCCGGGGTGGAAAAGCAGTGGCATTTAGGCACTGGGGTGCCGACCTTATCAAGCCAGCGGACTGATGTATGCTTGCTATCTTAGCATGTAATAATGCTGTAGCATTCAATGCTGCTCTGACCAGCTCCAGCATTAGTTTGGCATTAGCTACCCTGAAAGGTGACGTCCATCATTGAACCTTTTCCTTATTAGATATGAAGACCTGCTGATTTACTGTTGATGCATTTTTTTGTTCACTTTAAATTGGCCTACATTAGTATTTACCAGTGCTACAGATACTTTCAGGTAGAATGTACTGACAGTCACTGACGTAAAAACAATAACAAAGAGATCTGAGGCTTTCTAAGAGTTTTAATGGTCAGTTAAGATGTTACCATCTTATCATGCTCTGTGGCCTGTATATAAACGCTGAGCAGTTCCAGTTGACCTTGAATTTAGATCAAAATGCAAGATAAAGATCTAAGTGATGATGAAAGAGTGTTCATCATTGGGGCACAGAGGACCGGAGCTTCAGTCACAAACACTGCTCACCTCATATTCAATGGGAACAGTGACTAAAGTGACGTCTGTATTTAGATCTGTGGGAAAGACATCAGTAAACAAGGAAGTGCACTTTCACTGACAGTGATGCTTGTGCACTTGTGTGATATGTAGTGAAAAACAGAGGGTTGATTGTTCCTCAGGTGACTGAGAATACAGGACATGATCAGACTGTGTCAGCAAGAATATTCCATCTACAGCTACAGACACTGTTAGAAATAAAGGTTCTGTTCAGGTACGTTTTTCCCTCATCAAGGCACAAACAGTGTAAATGTTCCCTCAAAGCTCCAACAGTGGTTTTAAGGTCTGATTGTGAACCTTAAATAAGTTTCTCCAGGTGAAAAGTTCGTATTTGTACCTTTTCATAACCGAATGTTTTAAACAGAACAGTAAAATAAAAGCCTGGAGACGAGACGGGGTGTGTGGAGTCAGTACAGCTTAGAACATATCATTCAGTGGATTATGGTTCAGTTATGTTCCCTGACTAAAGGTACTGAGATGGACATTTGAGTGTCCCACCCCAGTGACAAGAGGGGCACTGACCCAGAGACAGTTCAGCACCTTTATTTCTGAGTTCAGTTGCGCAAAAAACAGAAATACCAGTGTACAAGATGTGGAAGTTATATGGTAAGTTCATCACATTCTCCACAAGTGGGCAAATGCATGTTTATTGTACATCAAGACAACAGCGCAGGCCAGAATGCTTGACCCCTACAGCGTCTGGTGGCTCCGTTATGCTGTGGTGGGCATTTTGCTGGCATGGTTTGGGCCACTTGTCCCATTAGAAGGAAGAGTTCACTGCAAATCAATACATAGTTATTCTGACTGATCATCTTTAATGAAACATCTCCAGGATGACACGGTTCCCATCCACAGGGCTCTGAATGGTTCGATTAGTATGAAAATTATGTAAGTCATATGCTCTGGCCTTTCAGTCACCAGACCTTATCCCAGTTCCCAGAACACCTATGGGAGATTAATAACCGACATGTTGGACAGCGCTCTCCTTTACCATCATCCGAAAAATGATACGTTATCCATCCAGTATAGTTCCAGAGATGTGAAGCTGTTCCGACGGCTCATTGTGGCCCAACACCTTACAGAGGCACTTCATGTTGGTTTTTTCCTCTAATTTGTTACCTATTTATCTGCATATAATCATTTTAACATGAACATATTACAGGAGAACTGTTCTGGTGCCATGTGTAATGTAAACGACTCTGTGAATGGGCTAATTTTGGAATTCAAAGAGGATTCAAAGGGATATATTCTTTACCATTTGGTTTTATTCATAAAAGTTCATTTTAATACGTTTAAGTGGTTGAACACGAGCAATCAGAGTCCTGTGAAGTAGATGCCACCTAGTGGCTCTCTGCTGTCTTCACATCAGCACTGTTCGGAGATGTTCAGGTGAAGGCAGACAGCCTCCAGCACTGCTTCTAGTCTTTCCATCTTATGAAGGACAAGAATGTTAAACTGACTGCTCCATTGTTTATTTGAGTATCATCCAAATGACAATGCTAAACATTCCCAGTTAGTTTTTGTTAATTAGTAGCCACATTTGAATTTGTTGAATTTTGAGTGAAGTTACTGTGATGCAGGAGGTCTTATACCCATTTTGGCCTCCACCACAGTAAAAACCTCAAGCTAAATAACTTGCAAATCCATATCAATCATGTGAGGCATCCGTCATGGCCTTTTTACCACACTGGAAAGAGTGTGCAGTCGCACGAGGATCGAAGCAGTTCTTCGACGGCGTTTGTTGTGAAAATCAGGCGGCTTCTTTTTTCTTCTGCAAAAGCTGAACATCCTTATTTAGTCATGCTTGGCCTGAGGCACTGAATTGGCAGTGTAGCTCAGAAATATTAGCCTTGGGACCAGGGAGCTTGGAGCGAGGCCATGTTCATGAGCTGGGAAGCCACCCACCCACACACACACGGATGTGTGCGCAAACACTTACACACACATTGTATTACTATCTTTTGAGGGACGTTCAATTCAGCTATGTTTAAGTGTAGCTAAACACTGCCTTTGACCTGAACCTCAGTGACCAAAAGGAAAGCTTTTGACACGTTTAGTTTTCCAAATTAAAGCAACACTTTGAGTTAATGTTGTTCATGGGGACCAGGGTAAGCATCAGAAATGTTGATCTCTTCTGCTTATTATAGAGATTCAGTCCCTACAAAGAAAGTAAAACAAAGTACACATACTCACTTTCAGCTGGAAGAAAAAACATAGCAGCTGATTCGGTCATGAACCCTAACTGTCACTCAACAAATTATTACATTTTTAATATCAGTGGCCAAGAACAGGCGGATAATGCATTACATTAAGTCTCTAACACTGAATTATGCCACTATAATAACTGAATTAAGGAGAAAGAACGCTTTGCCTTAAGACTAACACACACAAACTATTCAAATGTATATTTGTGTAACAGCACAATGGCTTGGATTAGCATATTAGCATATTAGCAGAATTGGGATGGGTTGGTGAGTTGGGTTGAATGACATGTTAAAGGGGGAATTGTTCACAGTAGCACTGATAGGAACCAGACATCTGAATCGTTTAATTCCTCTAAAAGCTGCATCACAGGAAGTTATTACATGAAATGGTTATGAATTCACTGCCTGATGCCTGAGACACCATTTTATAATAGTTTTGAGAAAGTTTCAGGCCTAAAATGTATTTTTTAAAAGCATTATTGGTGGATAGGTTAATGTAGGCTAAGATTAATACTATGAGTAGTTAAAAACGGCTGTGGTACCTGCATTAATCTTTTGTCTGGTGCCACTGACACTGACAGACATACTAACATTGAGTGTGAGAGGCTGGTTCATCAGCTACACCTGTTAATTTTTGCACCCTGTTACAGAACAGAGCATCTTGTTGACCAACCCAAATGAAGACCAGCTCAAATGAAGACCAGCCAGTCACACCCCTCTGTTT